CAAAACTGTATGTCACCGCCTACATTCTCTACCTTATCACGCTAATACGGTATCTGAAGCTTGCCACTCTCAATGCTGGGAAAGTACCAATATCTAGTCGTATAGCACGATAAGTACTGCGCAGTGCCTTGCATTGCACCACTGCTCGTGCAAGTCCGTACGTCTTCTACCTGCTATCATATCGTCAGTGGTCTGACAACACACTCTGAACAGGACTTCGCCTTACGCATCTCTAACCATACCGTGGCGAAGGAAGAGGCCGTACGCACAAGGGTCGTCGACGCGGTTTGCACGGAATGCGGATTCGCGTTCAGTCGATTCGCCGAGCTGGCCGACGCGCTTGGACGTACGTACTGTGGTCTTCCATCCGTTCATACCTAAACTTATATGACTTGCAAGACTAAAGCTCATGCCTATGGTTCTACGATCCCGCGGATCCTTGCCGCCATGACCAACGCTCAAACAAGCGCCTGTGGCATCGACTTCAGTCATCCCGGCCCGAACACCTTCGATTTTGATATGCGGCCACAGCGATCTTGGCTTTGTGGCGAAGTTTTCGATTCGCAGACTCGCGTTCGAAACGCATGAGCGGTGCCACGGTGTACAGAACCTCTCGTCGCCCTACGCATCTTCCACGGAAACTGGCCAACCCGTCCTTCATACCCACTAGGTCGGGTAAAGAGATACAAGCGGGGTTGAACTTGGCGTATGGAGCTCCCCGACATGGGAGTGCGAAAGATGGGGAGGAAGAGGAGGTGCTGCCAAGCTCAACCGAGTTGGGCACGAGAGCACTTGAGGATACTATTGCGCGTGCGAGGCGCCGTTCAAATGTTCAAGACTAGCCTTAGGTTAGCCGCGCACTCGAGGAGTTCTTGTTGAATTGCCTGGGTTTGCTGAGGCAAGCTCGGTGCAGCGGAACGAGGGTCGCCAGAATATTGCGTCGTTCGCGGTTGGCACGATGTTCCTTCGATTTCCGATTCAATCATGTTGTATTTCAGACATATATTGTAATACAGTCGTAATCAGTATCGATGAGACACGCTTCCCTGGACATAGTCCGACCCTCGACGACTTGCTTGGATACGTCTATCATGCCCTCAACATCGTCAAGTCCGACGACGACAAGATAGGCGCTAACCAACCAGCCCACCGCCGTCTGCAAGTAGAGCCTATAGTTATATCGCCCAAGTCCCGGCGACCTTTGCATCCCTACGTCAAGCCTCGATCGTACATCCTGACAGTAGGATAGAGGCCCGAGGTGTCGAGGAGTACGCCGTGCACGCTCGCTTTCCTGGTCGCTATCAGCCAGATCCTCATTGCTGCGTATCCACACTCGCCGTATCGCCTCCTGGTAACCAGATTACCTCTTTGTGAGGAAGTAGAGTACATCCCTTCTTGCTGATGGTAGCGATGGCGTAGCACAGTCAAGGATCCGGACCCCGGTAGATGTCGCGCCGGTCGATGGACGCTGGTGCGTGTTTGTGAGCGCATCGATCTGGCGAGAATTCCAGAACTTGCTCAGATAAAGCTCTCGGCGCTTAAAATCCTTCCAAGGCCGTGGTTAACTAGAACAGACAGTGGTGAATTTTGCTTGGGAAGATCTGTGCAGAGTTTCAGGGTCATCGGTCACCGGTCGGCCATCATATCCAGACAAGTCGTCCAGTAGTAGCCCGTCATGGCCCTGGGCTCTACTCGATGCTATTCAGCCAGCGCGGTACGAAGACGGTACCATGCGCTGTCTATCGCCGCCTCGAACGAATGCGGACAACGCGCAGGAGCCCTCAGGGCCGAGCACAGGATGCGCGGCGGCGAAACGGGCAGCGCGCTCTACAACGAGACCACGCCCGAAGATCTCATCGACGGGGACGGCAGTGAGCGACGCCAGTCACCCCAAATGCGAGCGGCCGCGGGGTACTGTTGGGGGTAGTGATTTGGCATCTACGCTGTCAACAGTACGGTTCGGGCGAATCATTGATGACCGAGTGCTCAGGCTCAACCTATGTATCCTGTAGTGGCTCATCCGAAGACTAGAGCTCACTCGGAGACATTCAGCAGGTATCGTGGTTCTCTTATACATGGTCCTTCGCGCTCTTTCGCATCGCCGAGGCCTCCTTATTATCTGCGGGCCAACTTCAACTAGCGCGCGTCTGTCCAGCGCTGGAGATATAAGTGTGCGCAATTCGAGCCATCGGGCCACGGCGAGACGATCCAACATTGTTGAGCGGACTAATGGTGACGCGTGACGGTAGGACATGAGAACAAGCGTTGTATGGGCATAGTAGTGCGCTGATGGGGGTTGTGGCGCAAGTGCAGCGTGGTAGCCGCCGCCGCCGCGGGGGAGGGGGGGAGCCTTTCCACGCTCAACGCCGGTCGCTTGCTCTTCGACCACCATCACCACTCTGTTATAAGATACCAGTTGCCGTTCCCTCTTCTCCGCTACACTCCCGAAACCCTCTATACGCTCGGCTCATGAAGTTGGACTGAGGACGGTTGGGAATACACGAGGGACGGTCAAACAGGAAGGGTGGAAGGAGGCGTGTGCGCAGACGGTACGCCCATGTTCCTGCTTAGCTAACTTCCTTGCGCGGTGTGCTGACAGTCGAACAGCTTCTCCTTCAGCACCCGAACATACGGCATATCTGGGCCGCTCATGTATCGCGCGCGGGCGTGATATCGCGTGATCGCTCACACACCGCCTTGAACGCACCGGTATAGATGCGCGTCCTTATGTACGTTTCCTATCCATGGACCTACGTCGCAAAACGCTAATGTACCTACAGTCATAGACCCAGAGGTCCCTTACCCCTACGACCTGCATCTATCACACCGGCCGATCTGAGCGTCTGCTCAAGTCGCCTCGCTCGGTCTTCACCGCCCTCGCGCTCCTGAGCATCTCCTCGCAGACCTGTGGCTCTCCGCCCAATCTTCACGCAAGGCACAACTCGCCGACCAGGAGCGCGAATGTGACAAACCTCGACCTCGCAGTGGATCTCACGTCCTGCCAGCCTTCGCCCCCACGTTCAACCGCGGTATTCAGAAAGCTTGCGAGCGTCGCCGCCCATGCACGTTGGTGAGACTACCTACCCTCATATAGTGCGCGAACTGATCTTTTGTTTCTCAGCGACACTCTGTAACGCTTGGCGTCGCGAGTGCAGAACGGTCTGTCGTCTACGATTATGGCTTCATTGCTACATAGGCTGAGAAGCCCCGACTTCGGGTGTGTGCGATTCACTTCTGGTTGTAGTCGTTCATGCTAACGCGACACATAGACGTGTGACCAAGATCGCGTATACTACGTTACCATATCCACTTCCGACGCCGCTAAGATGGGCTATCTGTAGTAGACGTGAAGTTCGTATGGTGCGCATTACGAGGACACGAATACAGGTGTGCTGTCCTCTCCCGCTCTACTGCTTCACCGTGATACTGACATTTACTTTCAGCGCATATCCCAACGGTATTGGCCTCCATATGGGGCCCTACGCATGTTCGTCCCCGCCATATATATCCAGACGCCGGACGCGGGAAGAGATTCGACTATGGCTGACATTGGGGCTTGGAGCGAAGAACGCGCCCCAATCCACGCTTGTCTAAATTCTTAGCGCTTATACCGCAGGAGAGCTTTCCATTCTCGAGCCCGGTACTTGGAGGTTATGATCACGAAGTGTCGAGCACGCTTCGCATACACTCGTTCAATCAGTCTGTTTCCCCCATAGTTTCAAGTCCTGTACGCAGCGTTCCTGTATATTTACGCTCTTTGCCTCATGCACAATGCAACAATGCAAATGATATCAAGCACATTCCTATCTCCAGGCGGTACGAACTGAACAAGACAGTCGAGCGATGCGGCATGACGCTCCTCGATCTCAGGACCTCCCAACTTACACCGACGTCCCTCCACCCCTCCTCGGCGCTCCGTATATGCGATGATTTTGGCACTACTTCGAGCAAAGGTAATCCTCAGTCTGACCCATCTGTTGGGTCCTCGAGCTGAGACGCGAAGTCCTCGAGAATGGCGCCCCACGGCCCTTCGGAGTCCGCCTCGGCATGCTCGCGCAAGTTCTCCCTGAGCCTCCGTGCGGATGGCAGGGTTTGTGGCGTATTCTTCGCGCGATGTTCCAAAAGTAGACGAGCTACGTCCAGGTACCCCTCCGTCGCGGCGTCGTGCACAGGTGTGTCTCCGTATTTGTCGATGTTGTCAATGAGCGCTCCGTGGCTGAGCAACAGGCGACAAACGTCGGCATGTCCCCAACGTGCGGCCTTGTGCAACGGGGTCTTCCCTTGGTTATTGCGGGCACGACATCGAACGGTGGGATCTGTCTCATCCTCTGCGTGGTGTTCCAAAAGTGCACGGACGATATCTGAGTTTCCTCCTCTTGTGGCTTCATGCACAGGTGTGTCTCCGTATTTGTCGGTGTCGTCGACGAGGGCTCCGTAGCTAAGCAACAGGCGACAAACATCGGCATGTCCCCGATGTGCGGCATGATGCAACGGGGTCTGCCCGTCCTCATTGCGTGCACGACATCGAACGGTGGGATCTGCCCCATCCGCTGCGGAGTGTTCAAAAAGCATACGGACGACATCCGAGTGTCCTCTTCTTGCGGCATCGTGCACAGGAGTGTCTCCCGAACTGTCGGTGCTGTCGATGAGGGCCCCGTGGCCGAGCAACAGGCGGCACATCTCGATACGTCCCTCCAACGCCGCTCGATGCAGCGCAGACCCACCGTACTGACCAGGAATTGTAAGGAGAGATTTGGTGTGTGTAGATGAGTTGCCCGAAGACTGTGCCAGCATCTTTTCTGCATGACGGCATAAGTTCAGCCTAGCAGCGCAATGGAAAGCGGTGTCGTCCCTATTCAACGGCGAACTGGAGCTAGCCCAACGGGCGAAAGATAGAGATTCCATCTGAAGGAAGGCGTCGAGGAAATTGCCGAGATCGTCTTCGTTGCTGGGAGACACGTGCTCTTCCCAGTAGTCATCTGCATAGGCTCGTAATACTGTAATTGGGTCATCCATAACGAGAACTGAAAGGCATATCTTGGACAGTGCAAGGTTCGCAGAGTGCTCTGTAATGCTATACAGATGCGCACGCGAGCTGGACTCTCGCAGTTCTGAAGACAGAAGATATTCATGAACTGAAAAATGAATGAATTGCACTGTTGGTTGTCCTTCGTCTGTAGTGACGATGTCAAGAAGGCCAGGGCATAGGCTGCGAATCAATCCTTCAGAGCCCTCATCGCCGGTCGTGATGGCCGCACTAGACGGCTGAGGTATCGCAGAGCCGAAATCGATGGAACAAATCTCTATGGCCTCGATCAAGGACAGCAGACGTTTTGCTGAAGCTATGCATTCCAACAAGCGGCGAACACGTTGTATCGAGTTCACGGAATGATCAATGTTTTCAAGGATGCGGTTATATGTATCATGAAGGCCCATGGGAAGCGCCTGCAAGGTGTCCTCCACTTCGATCTCATTCACGCAGCTTCTGAGGCGAGGGAGCTGGAGATCTACCCATAAGAACCTGCCAGTCAATCAGCGCGCGAAGAGACAAGTTTGTGTGTGTACTCACATCCCGTTGGCTCTCTCGACCAGTATTGATTCCGCCTTCGCTCTGACGGCCGGCCAACGACTCAAGTGTAAACGAGAAAGGTGATTCGCCACGTAGGCATTCAATTCTATCTCATGTTGCGAAGCGCCATCCAAATCAAGGCTGTACGTAGCAAAGCGGGTTGGAGAAGACGTGAAATGATCCCGTATGTCAGACTCAGGGCGGCTTGTGATAAGCCAGCGGACTTTGGCCTTACTCGAGTCGAGGCGAAGCCTCTCAAGGAAAGGGAATAAGTAGTTTCGCCGCGTAGATTCAGGAAGTTCGTCGAGGGCGTCAAGGACAAGAACCGTACGACCAGATATGGGCAGCAAGTCGGAGAGCATCTCGAGGAGATTGAGGTAGGGCGGGCGATCGCGAGGAGATGGATCGGATCTCCGTTTCGCCTCGATGTAATCGAAACAAGCTTTAGGTCCAGTTCCTATCTGAAAGATCAAGGAAGATACAAGTCCCGACCAGCCTTCACGTTGCTCGAGTGTGCTGTAATCGACGTAAAAGTAAGCTAGTAGCAGTGTGGGGTCCTCCCTGAGTGAGTCGATAGCCGCCGAGCTGGTGCGAAATGATGAGATTCTACTCGACACATCTTTGACGGAAAGCTTTGCACCATAATACACTCTTTCCAGCCCCAGCTAAACGTCTAGATCAGCTCGAGTTCTCAATAAGAAGAGATCTCGGGCGACATACCATTGCCGTAGACCCAGTAAACATCATCCTTGCTGGCTTTCCACTGCTTGAACTGCTGACTGTCGATGAACCACTGACAACTACCGGGTCTGCTCTTGTTGTCGTAGTTCGCTGGCTTCGGGTCCGGTGGGCGGAGCCAAGAACGAAGGGCGCTGAGCGCTGAAACGGAAAGGATATCAGCGTGACAATCTATGATACGATTACGACCATGGCCGTTACCTGCTTCGTCATATATCAGTTTGACTTGCGGCTGAACTATAAGGTACATGAGTTCGCTGCCGAATGAGAATTGAAGAGCGCGTCACCTTCTCGAATGGCGGCATAAGAACTGACAGCAGTCAGCAGCCGTTCCTTTTCCGTCAGTGCTTCTAGCTTGTCAAGGGTATCCTGAACTCCCGTCTTATCCACCAGCACGCGGAAGTAGTCCTCTATGAGCGATGAGCTTTTGGTAAGCGTTCCGCTCTCAAAAGGCCAGGGGTGCGACGAAACTCACTCCCGCGTCGGAACACAGCCCTCGCAACATTCTTCGCACGCGAATCACTAGCAATCACAGAGTTGCAATACCTCGTCGCGAGGGCCAAGGTGGTCAAAATGTGGACGAGCGTATCAATGAGGATGTCCATGAGTGCGGGGCTCGGCGGCGTCAGCGGTTCAAGATGAATCGAGACACGCTCAAGATAGTCCGTGACTTTCTGTAGGAGAGTCTCGACAGCATCGTATAATCGACTGACACCCTGCGTGGCCTGGGGAGCGTCAGACTACTGGGGAGTAAGACAAGAGCAGATGAGCTCACCTGGAGCATCGCGCCGACAGCGACGAAAATGGCCTTTCCCCCGGGAACGACGTTCTGTTCAACGGTGAGGTTCGATTTTACAATGGGAAGATGGGGATGACGCACGGAAGCCGCAGCGGCTTCGGCGCCTGAATCGATGAAGAGATGCACGAAGTGCACGATACTCTCCAACACACTCAGAACCTTGTGCCCTAGGTCGCGAAAGGTCTTGAACGACTCGTCCCGCTTCTTGAAATGCTCCAAAACCTTGCTGGCGTTGCTGGGACGAGATGGAAAGTCCTTTGCGAATGGAAGCGAGAGCAGGTCTTGTTTAGTTTCCTTCTTGTAACGCTGTAGCGCCTCATCCCAGAGTTCGCCGAAGCCTTTACGCGAGTTGTCATCCGAGGCCATAGTCTGACGCATAGTCGTAGGCTGGGACGACATGAAGGTCTGAGATTGAAGATGGTGGTGAGGATGAAGATATCAGCATCGCCGTCAACACGTTGGCCGTGTGAGGAGATGCCAATACAGGAAAGGCGCTCTGACCAGCAACGTCTGTCAAGAACGTTCCTCAGTTTCAAGTCCGAGGATCATGTGTACGGCGTAGGGTACACTGTGATCGCATCCGCTCGCAGGCCGTGCAAACTCACAGTGCAGGGCGCTCTGAACCCTGAGGAACGCCAGTATGCGTATGGCGGCAAAACCCGCACGTTATCGGATGGCTCCCACCACTCCGTTCATGCCCTGAGAGTTGCTGCTCTGCTTCGAAAGCGCGCAAAACCCCAACCGACCGTAGTGGTGGTTCTGTGCAAGTTGCGCGCCGTTCACTTTCGATGCTGCAGCGGTTCGCGCCGACTTGCCGAGCCAATCCCGAACGATCAAAGATGGACCCGGCTATCTCCGGTGTTCAAACGGCCAAAGCTCGCGGGTTGAGAGTCGTTCGTTGTGAACATCCATGCAGCGTATAATGATATTCACACCCGCTCTTCTGGGATACGCTCCGGGGCGAGAAAGAGAGAGGGCGAAATGGGTTTGAATCATAGTAATCCATCAGCTTCGACGATGGACACCGTGGCTTCCCGTCTCCCTAATACATACGAGAAGGTGAGCCCGTGGTAGACAGAAGATCGTTTGGACGTTGGTATGTCAACTTGATAGCTGATAGGCTGCATTAGAGGCAAGCCACTCAATGGGAAAGCACGGCCCAGTAGGCCGCATCACGCTACTTGAGAGCTTGCTGCTGGCACCCTCTTCACCCGGACCTCGACAGAAACGTGCCGCCGCGCCCCTCGGTGTTGCACCTACTACTGACTATTTCATATACGTCCCGCACTGGACACTACGCTCAGAAGCGCAGGTGGCCTGCGCGACGCGTCGTAACATGCATGACAGTCCGTATACATGCCCAGGTATGACACATCGTTCAAAAGGAGCACATCTCGGCACTGACATTCTGTGTGGACTGGCATCGTTCACCCCCTTCCCACAGGTTCTCCTGCAGATAATGGTATCAGGGCGGAAGGGACTGAAGCTGAGCACCAGCGAAGGTGACGCACCTTTCGCTCAGAAGCATCGAAAGACGGCGGTCGTTTGGCTGACGCAACGTTACAGAACAGCGCGGGCGCTTCCAGCGACTGGAGAGCGGTGCATACGCTCCTGTGGTTTAAACCAACGCTACGAGCGTGAGAATCTCCAAGTCCCTATTGTCCGCCCAAATCGAGCAATCAAGCAACTCCACCTTCTGACACCGGAACTCGGGACCGCGCCCCCATTGGTCCAAAGCCTAACCAGCGTACATACCAATACTCAACCACACCCGACTTTTGGAATGTGGACTGAGTAGTCCCGGGTATAAGAGCGACCCAAAGCCAGCATCATTTTCTGCACTCCCATTGTCGCTTGTTCCTTGTCGGCTTCCGGCGGCGTGCTCAATCATGTCCCCTCGCGGAGACTCTAAGAAGAAGCTTGCTCTCATCAAGGCGCTGAACAAGGCTCCCCTTCCCGAGCCGCATAACTCGGTTCCAGCGCCATGGCCCGGTCTTCCGCCGGTACCAAGGTTCATCGACGCCCAAGTCCAACACGCGCCGTGGTTCTCGAAAGAGTACTTCGAAGTCTTCAAGAAGGACGGAGCCTTCACACCTCGCACGAACAACTTCACCATCTACTTGATGTTCGAAGGAAAGAACTTGGAGGGTAAAGGGCGGAACTTGGTTCAGAGTGAAGGCGGTGGCGGCTGGAAGGGATTACTGGACAATGCAAAGCGCGCCGACGGGCGCGCCGCGCAAGAGAAACTGCTTTGGATCAACTTCGTTGCTGATGAACAAAAGAGGTCGTTCGATGTGTACTATCCGGACTACAAGAAGCCCTCGGTGCCGCGCAAGGACAAGCCTGCCAAGTCATCGTCTAGCACTACCGCTTCGGGTTCGTCTTCTACATCGTCTTCGCCGCCTGCGCACCAGGTGAGTCTTTACTCCAGGCAGTCGCTGCACTCAACGTCATACTGATTGTCGTGTCTGCTTGTAGCCGCACAGCATAAATGTCGCCCATGGGACTACTTTCGCCAGCGCATCGACCTTTACATTTCCTTCTGCCACCTTCAACACATCTTACACCCACGCCCAGTTCGAGACTTCCGGCCTCACTTCGTACGGAAACACAGGATCTGCGTTCGAACATACGCTGATGCAGCAGGTAGGCAGTCATTATTAAAACACTCTACATAGTAACACTCATCACGAATCAACTAGCCCTCGATCAACTATCTCCACATGGAACATCCTCATGCGAATCCCGTTGAGCAACCCCACGCCATCGAGTCTTTCACCCCCGCGATGCATCTCCTCACCGCTCTCGACATCGCCCTTAACGACATGGGCAAGTCTGCTGCCGCGGGATATCTACTCGATCTGTCCGAGGACGTGCGAAACGGAGGCATGACGGACGACGATGCTCTCGAGACGTTCTTCGACGTTCTCATGGAGATCCCTCTCAACGTGACCGAGCTCCATAGCCGAGTGCTCGACGACTTGCGCAACGTGCCGCATCTTGAGTCGTTTGTTCGCGGGTTCTTTGACCGCGTTTACTACGCCATCGATGTAGCAGAGACCCATAATATGGTGGACGCTGTCAATAACGTGCAGAGCAACAAGCGCGCGTTCGAGTACGGGGATGACGACTTCTATGGAGAAGTCCCCCTCAAGCGCACTCGCCAGTAGCAACCTCCTGCTATGGCTACTACTCCCCCTTTCCCGGCTCCCTCCCCTTTGTCTTGCATGTACAGTATTCCGCGACTCTCCACATCATCCTTCCGCGCCATCATCCTTCGTACTCTTTCAGCCTGTTCCGAAGGTCTCTCCTCACCTCTTTATGCCCCTCACGCTATGCCTTGTACGACCCCATCTAGCTCTACCACCGCGACATATTACCCTCCGACGAACATCCATACCCTCTCCCCGCACCTCCCGGCTCTTATATTCTCCCTGTGACAATATTCCTGTAGCATAGTTCACTCCCCACTTGCAACGCATAGCCCGTTTTCTGCTCTTATCGAAGCGAACAAAGGTGGCGAAGCAGCATCGGAACTTGTATGCGGGCCGGAAATGTTTGGCTTTATTTGCGCAGGCGCAGTGCGCCGCGTGGGGGCGGGCCTTCTCTCTCTCTCTCTTGGCCCACCACCTTGTAGCGAGGCGAGTCTACGTACCGTCGACTCAATGGTGCAGCGCACATACGTCTCTGTGCAGATGAAGGTCACCGTCGGGTCTTGGCGCGTTGGTTTGCCAGCAGGAACTCATTCAAGTTCATTCGGCGTCGCTTTGCATGCCTGGCCCTCGCGAGCGCAAGCTCATAACCTCCTGTAGCTCAGCGGCAGACCGCGAGATGAATTCGAACAAGTTTCACGTCGAGGTGCTGGTTCCAGTCCAGCGCGGAAGGTCTGAGTAACAGCTTTGTCGTTTTGCAAGTGGGCGAACACTAACTTCGAAGTACCCCGCGACATGAGAGCTGTTGCCTACGCCGACGCGCCCTCTCGGTCTGTAGTGCACGAGCACTACTTCGGGTCATACATATCGAAGTGACAGAGAGACCACGAAAGGCTTCGCGCAACGGTAGAGTACGGACGCTTGTCGCGGCGCCGACTGCCCTACAAACCACTGAGCTTAGTCCGAGTCGCACATTGACACAGGGGACCCGGTCGCAGGGCGTGTCGGAGTCGAGCTTGCTGGACGCCACACCGGCCAACTGCAGAGATGGCGTAGGTCGCCACAGTACTATAGCGGCTAGCCACGAAAAGGCGGTAGCGGCCAGGCACATCGAGACTTCGGTCAAGTCGGCGCGGAATGCGGGGCTCGGGTCGGTCAGACACGATCAAATGACGTTTGATGTCAAATTACCGCCTGTTGTCGCCGAGCTCGCGTGCCAGGCGACATCAATGTCAAGGGCTTATCTAAGCAATAGTGGTTCTGGGTTTGCGATGAAGTCATACATGCAGTATAGGCTAGCCAAAGCTTGTAGGGCGTCCTAGCATGACGGAGGCAGAGAGCAAGCAGAAAGCGCGGGGGCCGGACAATAGATCTGGAAAGAGCGTGGGGAAGCAATGCGGCGGATGAGGTGAAAAGGGCCGGAAAGATATTCGGGTTTGAGGACCTGCACTACCTGCATAGCCCATCCCTCCCTGACCACACAATACATGGGCAAGACGAAGCGACACCAGCCTGTGCACAAGGCCACTGGTAAATCTTATTATACTGCAGCGCGAGAAAGAACGGGAGGGTGACGCTGAGCAGGCTCTGCACGCCGGGCGACGACCCGCTCCTCGAAATCGCGCGTGCGTGCATTATTCCCCGCCTCTTAGCCTCCCCTTGGCGCCACTCCTCTGACTCGCGCCACAGCTCGCGTCCGATCCTGCGCAGAACACCGCAGACCTTAGCGCCCAGTTGCGCCAGCTCGGCCTCTACGCCGCCGACACCGTCGGCGATGGCAATTGCCTCTTTCGGGCTCTCAGCGATCAGGTCTGCCTCGCTTAGGCGCCTATACTTCCGACTGGCGGGAATATTGATATTGGGCGCCTTTGTAGATATATGGCACCGAAGCCCACCACGGCGCGCTGAGGCAGGCCGTGTGCGACTGGATCGACCGGCATCGGGCCCGGTACGAGCCCTTCGTCGAGGACGAGCGCGGGATCGAGACCCATCTCCGCTGCATGCGCCAACTCGGTGTGCCTATTCCCTATATCGTCTGTATATCATGGCTTATGTTCCTACTCACGTGCAGCTACCTACGGTGGCCACCTCGAACTCTCCGCCTTTGCGCACATGGCCCGTCGCGACGTCAAGGTCGTCCAGCCCGGACTGGTCTACGTTATCGAATGGGCGGCGGGTTGGGACGCCGGACCTCCCTCCTCGCCCTCTTCAGCCCTACCTGACCTCCCGGCTGTTGCCGGCCCCAGCTCACGCAAGGCTGAGCGTAAAGCCCGCAAAGCGGCTGGTCTACCTCCTGAACCAACCGCACAGGAGATGGAAGAGGACGAGGACAGCGACGACGATGAGGAGGAAAAGGCTGGGCCTGTATACGTCGCGTGAGTATCGTCTCGCATTGTTTCACCCTATGGAGGAGATGCTCAGATGAGCAGATATCATGATTGGGAACATTTCTCGTCTATCCGTAATCTTCGAGGTCCTCATGCCGGCCTTCCTCGCGTCCGCGAACGACCCTATGCGCCAACATCCCCAGTACAGACTTCATCTCCGCTCGTCACACCTACCAAGGAGAAAAAACGATCTGCCAAGCCCGCGTCGACGATCAAGGCGAAACCAGCGTCTGCGAGGAAACCTGTATCTACGGCATCTGCCATGGCGGTAGATGCACCTGCGCCGAGCACACCCGCCCGTGTTCCTTTGCCAGCGTCGCGTAGCCCCTCGCCGCCACCACCCATGGGCAGTCTACCCTTACTGCCCTCTTCGTCCTCACCCGCACCTCATCCTCCCACATCGACTTCTTCAACACCAGCACCGTACCCGCCATACCCGCTCGCATATCCTCTACCCGCACATTTGGACAACTTCCCCGGCGAACGCCGCAGTCCTAAACGTGCTTTCGACGAAAGCACAAGCGCATCATCGGCTTCATCTCAAGCGTCATCCGCGAAACGCGCGAGGACCGATTCGGCCGTCGATCTGAACGTTCAGCCCGACGTGAAGACGGAAGACGACGACCGCGAGATGACGCCCGCCTTGTCGGATATCTCTACCCTCTCCTCGTCGCCCTCACCTTCGCCTCCTCCCGAACCCGTGCAGCCTGTTGAACCGGTACAGAAGATGACGCGACGGCAACGGAAAGCGCTGGGGTTGCCGAAGGCGAGGAAAGTTGGGGAGAGGGCCGTCAATGCTGGTGCGGAGAGGAGGAGTGCGGGAAAGATCGTTATTCCTGGAGGTCGGTTTAGGAGGCCGGGGACGGCGGAGGGGAAGGAGGACGGTAAGTGCTACTTGTTCGCAAGTGGTTATAGGTACTAAGTACTCTTCATAGGTGATGCGGTACGTGAGTGGGTACGCAGCGGGGCGGGCAGAGTCGATGTGCGGGGCTTCAGAGAACTCAAGATCTAGACGCCCACGCACCGGAGATAACAGAGCGACTTCACCGCGTTCATCAAGACACAGCGCCTTCTCAACATGTCGACAATCTATCGTCAGACTACACGCCCTCGCCATGGCACCACCTAGCTACTGCAGCACCCCTGCGTCGGCCAACGCCAGCACGACGGACAACTGTCGCATATCGCTTTGCAGTTACTCTTGCACTGTAATCTGCTTTTCGTACGGCACTCATCGCATCGCTATACCAGCATCCAACATCTAGCATCTAGCATCTACTCGACACATCCTCGCATTTTCACCTTCACGACCTCTTCACGACTCTTCATGATCTACAACCACCAAGCTCATCTTATCGCATCGCACACATATATATTTATATGACATCCCTCCCATAGTCCCTCCGCTGGTTGCCGCGGCGCACACACGACGTATAATCATCCCCGCGCCGGAGATTGGCTTGAAGGAGGGTTCGCTTGGTTTTCTTTTTTCGATGTGTATTTTGTAGTAGTTCGTGGCATTTGGCTTTTCGCTCTTGTATATGTATACTTTTGTCGTTCGTTATGTCGGGGCAGCCCAACGGCCCAGCGGGAAGGGCCGGGCCGAGGCGGGCCGGGAAGCATGAACGCCGAATGCAACGCCCATCGGCAGAACATATGCATGCTTTAGCTGACTGGTGAGTATAACCGAAGTCGCGAGAACCGTCAATGTTGTGTCACCCAGTTGAAGAGAGCTTCCCCATAGAGTATATCCGCGATCGCGAATATTCTGCCTCAATATTTGGTATCTATCATGGTTTTCGGAGCCTCCAATTGCAAGCTCTGCGTGCCGCCGTACATACAGGCGGGTCCTCGAGGCGATCGGCCCACCCTTCTTTCCCTGTCGTACTCATTGTATGGTTACGGTGGTCGAAAAGCAGGTCGCGCGACGCATTACTGAGACATATTGACGCGAGCTTTCAACGATGGGCAAGTGCATGTAGCCGCCGCGCGTCGTGTGGCGCATTCCACACGCGGGTTGGCTCTGCACTCTCACCACGCCCTCGCTTCGGCTGCGCTCATGTCTTCAGTCCCATCCTCCAGCTCCGATGAATTTATGAACCGTGACATCGCGGCTGAACTGGCTAAAGACCCAGTAGGGCTGGCGTTTGCCGTCGTCTTACGATATCTCGTCGAGCGCGACCCTCGCCTTGAAGACCTCAAATCTACAAACCTTATGTACTCTGACGAGGCTTGCGCGCTAGTGCTGAAGGCCATTGAAGAGAGGGACTACACGGAGTTAAGAGGTGATTGCGCATAGCTGCTCATTGGCGATCCCTCACTCGGTTGGCGCTCATCGTTGTCGTCTTCGATAGATCATCTACTCACGCTTACCGCCAAACCTGACGTAGTACTCGAAGGGGGGAAAGAAGGTAGATACTTTCTGAACTTTTCATCTCCGCTGAGAAATACGAGTCTTACGTAGCGACAGCGACTGTGAAATCTTGGGAGCAGCCGTTCGAGGGTCGCGCCCATGCGGCCCTTTGGGCGCATATCGTCGGACACTTCAAGCGTCAACCCCGCAACTACTCGCCCTATTGTTTCATCGTCCAATCCTCTGGGACTGGAAAGTCTCGGTGTGTGGACGAGCTCAGCAAGACTCATCTGGTGGCGCCCTTGAACGTGAGACGACCTGGAAGTCGCGGTGTGTACCGTGTTCGTCGCCCTTGTATCCGACATACTGATGCAATCTGTATACTAGGGTTCCCTGCAGCGGACTCGCAGCTTCATCGTTTCTTCACTCAGGTATCTCCCCGTATGGGCGTCCGCATGAATGCCATCATCTGTGCCCTGCTACTCGAGACCGCACAGAAGATCGAGAATGAATACGCGAGCAGTGGACTCGATAACCTTCCTGGCTGGCTTCGCAGTTTCATGACGGAAGGACAGAGCTTCGACGCGCAAGGTCCCCGACGTATTGACTTCTACGATACAGTCGTCCAAACGGCCAACTCGGTATTCATCCGATACATTCCTGTTGCGATCGATCGCTCACCGCCGCCACGCTCAGCTTCTCGCTATGGAGTACACTCCGCCGATTTCAGGCCCACGACCTTCTGTCGTCCAGGAGGCGTCCCAATCTTCGAGCCCGCCAAGGATCCAGTTCAACACCCGTACCGGTCTGTTCAGTTTCGTCTGCACGGAACGTCCGATTCTCACCGCTGTGCTCAGGACTCGTGGATGTGCATTCGGCCGCTCGATATTTGCGCGAAGCCTGCCGCAAAACTAATCACCCAGTGCAAGACGACGAACCCGTCATCATCGTCTCCATCGATGAAGCACATGAGCTCACAACTACAGACGAATTCGGCGCTAGGAACGGCACATCTCTCGCACACATTCGACGCGCCTTGCGCTCGATGGACGATGGTATCTTCTTCATTTTCCTATCAACATCCGCGAAGATCTTACAGTTCACCGACCCCCGGAACTTGGTTCCTTCGAGCCGTGTTTCGTCAGATTCTGTGCGTTTGATTCCTCCCTTCATGGCTTTGGGCTGGGATCACCTTGCTCCGCGACTGGACTGGCCTCAGCAAGGGTTATCGTTCGAGAGCATAGGCTACGGATACCAGGTCCGTCTGGGGCGTCCACTGTGAGTCCCTCTCAATCATACACCTTCAACGATACTCATGTGTCATAGGTTCGGCACACGTTATCTCGCAGGGGGAGAAGAAGCTGGCGAGCGCAGGATGCTGCAGTTCGCAGCACAGAAGCTTCTATGTGGCCCGTATACACCCTGGCGCCAGCTCTCATCTGATCAACAGCTCGCCTGTCTCGCTCGAAGACTTCCCATCGAATTTATGCCTAACCCCAATGTGGAGCTGGAAATGAAGCAAGTGGAGAAGCACATGCGCGTCTGCATGGGCGACTTGACGAGTCTCGCGACGAACTCTCCATCCGAACCGATACTTTCGGAGGCGGCCAGTATGATCATGAACGAGTATCCCGACTTCTCTCCGCCATTCGCCCTCTCCTTAAGACTAGAAGGCCTTTACGCCCGCCGCGGAGACCGCGGGGAGATGGCTGGGATGCTCCTCGCGATTATGTCTCGAGATGCTGTCGTACATCGGACTCCTGGATCCAGCAACTCCGGTTTCTTCTCTGCTGTTGAGTTCATGCGGGAACTATTCGGCGCTATACCTACAATCTTTGAAGCGACGCCGTCTGTCTATGTCGCCGAATCTGTAAAGGACGTGCCGCTCAAGAGTGCCTTTGCCGACATACACCTGCACTTCAACCACTTCATCAGGCGTAACTCGGTCGACATCGACATCGATCAGCTCTTCGGGTTCGTCCTTCGGAATGCTGCTCTCTTGGGCGCCAATGCGCAACCTGGCTTCGATATCTTGCTTCCCTTGTGCCACGGCCGTTCTCTCTCGCGCTCGTCTCTGTCGTGGATTTTGGTGCAACTCAAGAACGATCCTGATTACTCTGCTGAGAACTCCGACTCGCTCTTCGATCATATGGACCCAGTCATGCTCGGACTCGTCAAGCGCGGCGAAGTCTTACGCACTCCCATGATCCGCATCGTCATGGCGCTCGCCGGCAAGACGCCCGCTCTCAAATGCGTAAAGAGACACCGGACCGCCGACTTCACGTCCTATGACTTCGTAGCATCGGGCCTTACCTCGTCCGTCTACCCCGCTGTGGGACAGGCCGAATCGATCTGGCGTGCTATCCGAGGACCGCCGCATGGGTGGAAGGACGTCTATGGCGGCAACACTGTGACTGAGGAAATGAGGGCATTGAAGATGTCGATGACGCCCATGGCTGGCGATGAGGAGGCCTTCTGGTCCTGGATGCCCAAGAAGCCGGCGGTGCGAGTGCAGGGTGTGGATGATGAATGAGACTGTTATGGCTGGAAGGCGTGTTTTTATTGCTAATTATATTCCCAACTTCGTTGTATCAGCTAATAATTGCAATGCACTGCTTGTATCCATTCCGCTACAACATCCGTCCCTGCAAATAAGTTAAGCATCGTTGCAAGTAAGCCGCCAGCGCAGCATGAGTCTGCACGTCGGACTTTGCGGCCATTGCGGTTCCGTCGGTCCGAAGGATCAATTAACGCCGGCGCGGGTTCGAGCATGCTCGTTGTCTTGCACCACCATCAAGAAATACATCGCATTACTCTATCTTCAACTTCTTGCGTCTTGATGCACAAACACTTGCGGATTGGTACGCGGTGTGTAATGTGCGAGTAAAATGAGGGAAATCGACTATTATCGAAGTTGAAGATCGGTAACGTCCGGATCCCGTCGTGACCTCGACCAGTCTTTGGCGGTGGGATCATTGAAAAATATCACTGTAGTCTGTATGGTGGTGGAGGTGCGTCAGCTGTCACATATTGACTGGTGCTACACAAGGCTAACTTGCTCTGGTCCCATAGGTATGAACCCTCAGTCGCGTCTTCGGGTCGTCGCCCGCAGGGCTGTGAACAGACCCTCTTGGACATAGCCTGGCGCCTTACACTGTTTTTCTTGGCGTCAGATCCACGCGAAAAAGTGACCCCATGGGCGCTGTACTGCTTTGCATACCGCACTTGGATGGATACATCTGGCTATCCGCCTGTTATATACCTTGACCCCCCTCCCTCGCGCAACTGAGACCATTTTCCGTCTGGCATCTCTGTGAGTTATGACATGGCGGGTGTACGACCGCCGGTTATAGATCAAGCACTGACGATGCTTACATAGCAGCATGTCTATCACCCTCAGTTTCGACACAAGCAAACTAGCCTCGGCAACTGGGGTTCACATAGACCCGGAAGCCGAACGTTTGCTGAGCGAACAGCAGTCTCACGACCCTACTAGACTTGGAGACCTCAAGTGGATGCTCTATCGTGGAACAGGCGACATACGCTACCTTGACCAAGCCATCGAGGCCGCCCAAATTGCACTTGCGCTCATGCCCGAGCCCGGTGATCCCGAAGTTCTGGGCAGTCTTGGGGAACGCTGCAGTGCTCGCTTCAGCCTTACGGGTACGCCAGAAGATTTGGACAACACCATCGTAATGTCAAAACGCGCGATAGCGCTTACGTCGGATGAAGACCCGGTGAAACCCGTCTGGTTACACCAACTGGGCGCTTCGTTGTATACGCGCTCTGGACGTACTGAATCGCTGGACGACCTGGACGTTGCTGTACAGGCGTTCCGCCGTGCGGCGGAGTTGACCAACGGCAAACAACTATTCCTCAAACCCGCACATCTACATAATCACGCTCTTGCCTTGGAAGCGCGTTTCAAGAAGACCGCCGACCTTGGCGACCTCGATACGGTCGTCGAGTCCTACCGTTGCGCGGCAGATCTCACGCCCACGGATCATCCAGAGCGCCCGGAATGGATTGCGTACCTCGGCCAATCATTGCACCTGCGATACGCGCACACGCACGCGCTCGGGGACCTCGAGGAGGGGTTGACAACTCAGCGTCTCGCAATCAGCCTCACACCTGACGGGCATCCCGATAAACCTTCACGTCTTGGTAGCCTCGGCGACATGTACTCAGACCGCTTCCAGCACTGCGATGACATCTCAGACATGGATGCGTGTATCGAGACGCGGCACCGCGCAGTTGACCTCACGCCGCCCGGACACACCACCCTGCCAGATCGGCTGAGTTTGCTTGGAAATGCATACACTGCCCGCTACCGGCGAACGGGCGCTCTTGTCGACATCGAGACCAGTGTGTCTATCCATCGCCGTTCCGTTGCATCACTCCCAGACAAGCATCCGGATCAGCCACTTCGTTGCGTCGACCTCGGTACTGCACTTGGGTACCTCTTCCGGCGTACAGGCGCGCTCAAAGACCTGGACGAAGGCATTGCCATGCACAAGCTTGCGGTGGCATTGTTTCCCAGCTCACACCCCACAGCCCCATTAGCCCTCAGCAACCTTGGCCGCTCGCTTATTGTGCGCCTCAAACAGTTGGGTGACATTGCCGACCTTGAATCTTCGATCGTCGCACACCGGCGAGCGGTGTCTCTCACGCCGGAAGGTCACGATGAGCGCCCGCTGTGGCTCAACAACCTAGGCTCTGCGATTCTTGAACGCTATGACCGCCTACGCGATCCACGGGATATGGATTTGGCCATCGAGGCGCATGAGACAGCAATCGCGTTGATGCCCGAGAGCGAGCCCGATAAACCAGTATGCTGGAATAACATGGGGCTTGCACTGCGTAGTCGATTCGGCCACACAAATGACGTCGAGGACATTGATAAAGCGATTATGGCCACCCGCAACGCGCTGCGTCTCGTACCAGACGGACATACAGGTCAACCTGGCCTCTATAGCAACCTCTGTGGATGCCTTCTCAGCCGCTTCGTCCGTGTTGGAGAACGCGCCGACCTGGACACGGCGATCTCTATTATGCGTACTGTGAACGATGTGGTCCCGAGTGGCCATCCGGATAAACCAGCGAATCTACTGAATCTGGGCGGGCTCTTATGGAAGCGTTTTGAACTGGATCAGACGCAAGAGAGCTTTGATGCAGCCCTCGAGCGTTTCATGGACACTACATACGAGCCGACAGGGTATCCCACTGAGCGTTTCGAAGCCGCCAAGCTCTGTGCGACGCTGCACACTAGGCATCCGCAATTCAGCTCTGGCGATGCCCTGTTACGTGCCCACTCTCGTGTCATGAACGTCATCCCAGAAACAGTATGGATGGGATACGACGTACATCGGCGTTACACGGAGTCTGCCAAACTAGGAGAACTTGTCAGTGCGGCTGTAGCTGGCGCTTTGGATGTCGGGGCTACGACGCAGGCAGTTGAGTGGCTCGAAGCAGGCCGATCCATCGTCTGGTCGCAGGTGTTGTCTTTGCGCACCCCGCTCGACGAGTTGGCTGAGCGTCATCCGCTCCATGCTGAGTCCCTTCGAGCCATTCAACGGCAACTGCAGCATTCAGAGGGCGGCATATCGCGGAGATCGCGCACTCATGGAGGAGACATATCTCTAGATGAGATTACAACCGAAACGGCCACCGATCGCCACCGCTTTCTCGTTGTCGAATACGAGCGGATATTAGCTCAAATACGCGCTTTGGAGAGCTTCGACACTTTCCTACGACCTAAGGCACTCTCGTCTCTTCTGTTGCCCCGCGAGGTTGCAAGCAGTCCTGTCGTGCTCTTCAATGTAAGCTCGCGCCGCTGCGATGCACTCATAGTCGCTGCCGAGGGAGGGATTACGACCGTGGCTCTTCCGGAGCTTACCCTTCAGCGAGCGATGAAGCTACGTGCGCTATGGGCCGCCCATCTCGACACCGAGAACGTGCGGCAGCGCGGCATGAGCTCTGGGCCGCAGCTATTGCGTGGATCATCGAGAACCGCCGGGCTGTTATTGGAGCGTGTGTGGACATGGATCGTTGAGCCTGTTACGGAAGCACTTGGAATACGAAAACTTGTGAGCAGTCTGTCTTCTGGCGTCGTAAACTAGACTGAATGAGGCACAGAAGCGCGCTGGAGACATCCCTCGTATCACTTGGTGCCCCACCGGGCCTCTCGCACAACTACCCCTTCACGCGGCTGGCGCCTACAGCGAGGAGTCTGGTCCACGCATCTTCGACCTTGCCATATCCTCCTACACGCCATCGCTCGCCGTCTTGCGCCACAGTCACGATCACCTTGCGCACAGGAAGGCTGCAACCGCTCCGAGCGTACTGATTGTCAGTCAACCTGAAACGCCAGGATACGCGCCGCTCCCTGCGACTGAGGAAGAAGGCCGCCGGCTGCAGGAACTTCTCGCATACGCGCAGATCCCAAATGTGCTCTATGAACACGAACATGGGACACTCGCGGCGGTTCGGGCCGACCTCCATGAGCGCCAATGGGTGCATCTGGCTTGCCACGGTTTCCAGCACGCGGACGACGCAACACAGAGTGCATTCGCACTGTATGACGGTCCTCTGTCGCTCGCTGAACTCATGAGGACATCGATAGGCGATGCAGAGCTAGCCTTCCTTTCGGCTTGTCAGACTGCAATGGGCGATGAGGCCAACCCAGAGGAATCCGTGCATCTTGCGGCGGGGATGCTTGTCGCCGGATTCAGCGGCGTCGTGGGCACCATGTGGTCTATCAGCGATGCGGACGCGCCGATTGTAGTCGAGGCATACTACAGGAGGTTGCTTGATCTGCGAAGGGCGGGTACAGTTGGAGTAGGACAGACGGGCGCTGCATATGCGCTTCATGAAGCTGTGAAGGTTCTTCGAGAGAAGGTCGGAGAGAGTGCGTTCATGAGTTGGGCCCCATTCGTATATTTTGGTGTTTGAGTTGTGCAATGTGTATACTCGTACAATACTGCCCCTCACGAACTACGTATGATCAACATACGCTCTCAGAGCCTTCAGACGCGCGATATTGCTTAGAGACCCCCATCATAAACGCGCAATTGAACGCGCGGACGGCGCAGCACCTCCCCTCAATATAAGCATCAGCCCAACGAACAGCTCCACTTCCGCAGATCCACCACCAAGCTCACCATGTCTAGCAAGTACGTCGCCGTCCTGACCGTCGAGTCGTCTACGACTATCAACGCGCCGCGTCCTGTTGTACGAGACGCGTTGCTCGGCTTTGCTTCCTATCCGGAATGGTGCGCGTTCTTGTTTTGGCGCTCTTCGGCTTCTGAATGATCGCTTGTCTTCCAGGACCAAGAACTTCGTGTGCGTCTCCCATCATGAATTCATAGACCATGCATGCTGACAGTCACGTATAGCACGAACGTTGAACTGCTGGACGCCGAACACAACCTCCTCCCAGACCAACGCGCCGTGCCCTCTACCGGGTCCTGGGTGCGCGTAACGGCCACCTTGCCAGACAGCACCAGCACACATATCAACGACGAGTTGCTCATAGACTACGACGCGAACGTGGGGACACTCGCGTGGCACTACGAGGGCTTTTTCGGTATGCTCAAATCTGAGCGGTTTCAGACGCTCGAAGAGGCGGAGGATGGCACGACGGTTTATAAGACGCGTTCGGACTTCTGGGGACCGGCCGCTTGGCCTTTGAAGTGGACTTCGGCTGTGGGGTTGCAGGCTGGATTCGATGCATTCGGGAAGGAGCTGAAGGCGCGCGCTGAAGCGCTCAAGTAGGATATGACATGGGCGCTGATGGGAGAGTTGCTATCAACGAGCGAAGCAACGGTTGAGCAACGGCGGGCAGCGCGCATCATTTGCGCATCATTGAACCTTTCCTCCTTGTCTTACACCATCACTATCGCTCTACCACAATTTATAATGCCCTTCTCTAGAACGTTTCTGTGCTCCCGGGTGAGCTGCGGGAAATGACTCGAGTTCACCGCGATAAGTGCCTGAGAGTTCGGCATCCCGCTCCAGAAGGCATCTTGCTCTCGACTACCAGGCCATTAACGGTTGTAAACCATGGATCTCGACCTTGCTGGAGTACATGTCCTGGTAACTGGTACGTTCGCTATTGAATCGATACGTCGTACAGTCTTTGCTAACGGTTTCAAGGGGCGAATGGAGGGATCGGTTTAGAGACCGTCAAAGTGTTCCTCGGTAGCTCGACATGCTTTGACTCGCTGTATGAACCGACTGACGATCAGGCTGAGCAGAGCAAGGCGCAAGAGTAACCGCACAATACCGCTCTTCTGCTGCATCCTTGCAACCTTTGATCGCCGAATACCCGTCCACATTATCCCTCGCGCAGGCGGATCTGGCATCTGAGCCTGCTGTTCAATCTCTCTTCGCCGCGCTCTCCACTCCCGTCGAGGTTTTGGTCGTAAACCACGCCGTGTATACTGGCCAGGCACCACTGAAGGACATGACGCTCGCGCATTGGTCGAATACGCTCGACAACAACCTTACAAGCTCTTTCTTAGTCGTGAGAGAGTACTTGAAGGGGCTTGAAGCTGGCATTGCGGCAGGCGTAGGGCGCTTTGGCGAGCGCGCTGCGGTGGTCAGCGTAGGGAGCACAGCAGGTCAGTATCGTCACCTCTTTGGCGTGGCTACAATACTGACCAGCTGTTACAGGAAAGTACGGAGAGGCGGGAAGTGCAGACTACGCGGCGACCAAGAGTGGTACGTCCCGATATGTACTCTCATCTTCGAGCCCACAATTGACGCGGTTCTCTAGCCTTGATGTACGGCTTCACGCTTTCCCTCAAAAATGAGATTGTGAAGATCGCACCGCGCGCACGTGTCAACTGTGTGGCGCCAGGCTGGGTGAGGTCTATTTCAGAATCTGCAGTCGCACTGTACTGACACGGCTCCAGGTGAAGACACCAATGGCTACAGAAGCACTTGCGAACCCGCATATTATCTACCAGGCACTGGCTACGTATGTGTATTTGAAACGTGAATATTCGGTTTTCTATGCTCATATATTGCTTCTCACAGGACACCGCTCAAAAAGGTCGCCGAGCCGCGCGATGTAGCCAACCAGATAGTACTGCTGTCCAGTACGAAGGTTTCTGGACACATCACGGGCCAGGTCCTGATGGTCGAGGGAGGGATGGAAGGCCGCCTTCTTAATCGCGCTGCAGATCTTGGGCTGCCGGCGGATGCATAGGCGCGCGGACGTGGCGGAGTGAGGACACGTCTTGAACCTCTAATGTGTATTTCTGTCAGGAGCCCGTGTTTTCGCAGTACTGTACCCGTGCCCTGATGTAATTTACAACACTTCTACGGTGAAGATAGTCTGCTGCTAGGCCGATATGAGCACTTGAAGTGCTGCGTGCCTGTCAGAAGGGTACGTGCCACTCGGCCGACGCATGTGAAGTTGCGAAATCAACATCCCGTCATCGAGGGGCACACCGATCATCGTTCCGAAGAGTTCTACGCGCGGCACGCTGCAGAGCGCCAGCACGGCTTGCTTCCTGCCACCACGCACTATGGACGCTCTGGCACCGTACGTCGACGTGTCAAAGACGTCCCTCTTCCTCTCCCTCGGCGCGATCGCCTTCAACCCTACGGCTTGGAATATCGTCGCTCGCAATGGTCCGTAGCATACACACAGGCCTTGTTCGCGTCCAGACTACTGACAGTATTGTGCAGAGTACCATAACAAGACGATCACGCGTATATTTGGCGGTAATGCGTATGCGGGGACCTACTTCCTAGCCGCTTGCATCTTCGGATGCGGTATTCTACGCGACCATCTGTGCGTATTACAGCTCGTCATTCTGGACGTGCTGTACTTACGACTTGCAATAGTTATCAACGTGCATTATTAGAGCAGCCGAAAGTTGCCTTACTTCCTGAGCCGCTCAACACGCTTATCCCCGTCGCGCTGTTCGGTCTCGGCCAGCTCTTCGTCGTCACCTCGACCTGGGCACTCGGAATCACCGGAACGTTCCTGGGCGACTACTTCGGCATCCTCATGGATGCGCGCGTTGAAGGTTTCCCTTTCAACGTTCTGCGGGACCCAATGTACGTCGGAAGCACCATGTGCTTTGCGGCTACTGCCCTCTGGTATGTTGGCTGTTCGTGCTTTCGGTTTTCCGTGAGGCTTACACGTGCGTTACGCCAGGTATGAGCGGCCTGCTGGCTTGTTGATCACCTTGTACGTGTACCTCGTGTACATATTGGCGCTCAAGTACGAAGGGTACGTCTTCTACTCAACCTGCCTGCAGATAGGTTCTGATAGTAAACACAGCCCGTTCACCGACATGATCTACTCGAACCGTGCGTCCGCACAAGCGGCAGCTTCCAAGAAGCCGTCGTCGAAAAAGGAGCTTTAAGCTCCTGAACTTGCTCTTGCACGACACGACTTGTAACGACTCTCAACAGTCTCTGTAATGCTTGCGGATCTAGATACCACTCATGTGTACACTACCACGCACTATATTCAACTAGGGTATCGCGGTGCCGCGATTGTTCATCTTCTCCTGCTCATACATTGTCGACTATGACCCCGCGCTCCGCAAGAATCTGCTTGCTCTCCTCCGCAAAGCCGAACGTATTGTAGCCGGCCGGATCGAGTTGGGAGTAGAATGTGTCCCGTACGTATGGCGTCAATGGAAGGTCGTACTGGAGACGGATAGGGAGGTCGGGCTGTGAGTACTATGATCAGCACACGCTTCTATCACCGAGCATTGTGCTTACATTTGAGGTGTAGTCCCGCCCAAAGGCAACGAGCGTATGCTCGTCCGACTCCGCCTGTGCGATGGCGGTCTCGCGGGTGTAGCCACTGTCGGTGATATACGGTTTGCCTTTCCAGATCTCGTACAGGAATTCATTAGACTCGTCCCCCTTCACAGGGCGCCCATTCCAAGTCGGACCGAATCGGGGCTCGACGACGTGCAGATATGCGAAGTCGGGATGGCGCCGACGTAGCTCGGACACGAGGTATGAGAACGTCGGGATGGGATCCTCGTTCTCTACAGACAGCAAGGAGTAAGGGTGGTAGCCGTGAGACCGGTGGACAGACAAGCGCACCGTAGCCTTTGCCCCGGACGGTATCCCAAGGCATGAGCTTGATTCCGAGGCGATCGGCACCTATCTCGCGCGCCATCGCATCGTAAACTTCAAGCGTAAAACGCGCACGGTTCTCGGGCGTCCCGCCGTACTCGTCTGTACGCGTATTCGAGAACTCCTTCTGGAACTCGTCGAGCAGATATCCGGCGCCGGCGTTGACTTCGATCCCGTCGAAGCCTGCCTCGTTGATGGCTAGCTTGGCGGCGTCGGCGTGTAGGCGGACATACTCCTGGATTTCTTCACGAGTGAGAGCGCGAGGAGCTCGGCGTCTACCTTCTATGGGTATCCCTGAGGCAGAGATGTATGGTGGTGGCGGGTTCATCGCGGCTAGGAGGTCCGGGTCAGCCTCGCGGCCTAGTACCCAGAACTGAAGTATCATGAAGGAGCCACGAGCATGGACGGCGTCGGTGACCTACAACAAGCAGTTAGGGAGACAGCAAACTCGAGCGCGATGGACGAACTCACCTTCTTCCATGCCCGGACCTGCTCAGGAGACCATAGACCTGGGGTATGCTGCCAGAGATCAAAAGCGGCGCCCTTGGGAGTGATGTAGGTCGCTTCCGCTATGAGCAGCGTGCCAGGTACGGTAGCGCGAAGGGCGTAATGGGCCACGACGTCGTCGCCTACTACGCGCGTGTCCTTGTCGACACGGTTGCGGGTCATTGAAGGGTGCACGACACGGTGCTCTAGTTGCATGCGGCCGACTTGGATGGGCTGGAAGAGGCGGGGTGTAGACATGGTGTGCCAAGGTCGACGGTCGAGGCGTAGAGAACGATGTAGCTGCAGTCTGTCGGGTATGCAACACTTATACAGTCTTCTTGGATGTACTCAAGCGCTGGACCCGCCGCACCAGTCGGACATAGCGACGTCGAAGACTACACAGAGCGGAGATTCGTCCATAGTCTGAGAGGTGACCGACCCTGGACCAGCACGAGGTACCTCAATGCGTAGCTGAGCACCTGCGCGTAATCATGGCGATATGCTATAGGATTACTTCAGCTTATATGATTGTCCGAGTCCGACCGGAGCTCTCGTGAACGGACTTTCCGTGTTCACTCTGAGACGTATGAAGACGATGGTGGCGAATAGAGCAACCTCAAGCTGATATCCCCATTCACGTAGATGGAACGGCCCATTCTGGCCTAAAGAATACGGCCAGCACGGGCAACGTCGGCATGCATGGGCTTCGCCGTAACATCGCAAGGATCACGACAACAAGTACAGCGCCAGCAGTAGTAGAGAGGGGTGATGACAGTTCAGTTTTTGAGTCGACTCGGCTATCGCTCGGCATTTGACAAACGGGACCGACAAACATCGGCATACAATCAAACAACTTCCTACTCCTGGCCGAAGACGTAGTCCTTCGTCGTCTCCTCCCAGAGCTTACGACAGTCAACGCGAGCTCCGAGTCTCGACGCCAGTAAGAACGCCCCGCTCAGTTTCCTTCCGTAGCATCAGAATGTAGGTCACTTGGAACGAGAAAACACGAACCTGTTCAGGGAGTACGTCTCCCGCGGCGGCGGCGTTAGCCGATGCTGCAACATGACCGGTATCTGGTCCCGAATCTCCTTCGTAATACTCGTCCACTCGCTCCCAGGTCCAAACGCAAACGGCTGAACCGTATCCTGGCGGAACGGAGTCGCGAGCAGCTGCATGCTACGCACATGCGCGCGCACCATGACGTCCTCTTCCTGACCCGTGAGGTATCCGAGCGCGAGACTGGCCTCGACGCAGGCATCGTGGTCGCCAGCAGCAGCGGCGCTCAGAAGGCGCAGCCAGTCATCCATGAAGCGCCCCGAGTATGTACGCGTGGCGCCGAAGTCGACGAGCTCGACTTGGCGCGTGCGTTCGTTCCAGAGGAAGTTCGTCCAGTTCGGGTCGGTCTGCATGGCGCGGAACCGGAAGAGCTCGAGGAGGCAGAGCTCGATAATGCGGGAGGCGATCTGTAGGGTTGTTCGTTTTAGACTTGTGAGAATGATGAGATGATGGGAAAGACGTACGTCATCTTTGTCCTTTTGGGATAGGCGCTCGACGAGCTCCCCGCCGACGCTCTTACCGTCGACGTGTTCCATCACGAGTACGGTTTGTGAGCTGCCGTCCCATACCCAGGGCACTTTGAAGCGGTCGTTACCCCCGAAATGGTCCGCGTCTCCGAAAGTGCGCAGGAAGTTCGCTTCGCGCGTGTAGTCGCATTCGTCGGCTAGCTCCTCCTTCATGGCCTACGGAATAAGTGTATGAGAACAGATGATTCAACATTGGTGGACTTGAAGACGAACGGCGATGGTTTTGTCCAGAAACAGGCCCTTCGGCAGCAGTTGACCGGCCGTGAGGAGCACCTTGAGGTATCCAATATCGCTCTCAACGCTCTGGCGGATGTTCGGGAACTGAATCTTCACCGCCACGGCCTCGTCCTTCCCAGTGGGCGAGACTGATGCTGAAAGGACTGCGCGGTGAACCTGGCCGATGGATGCAGCAGCAAATGGGATGGGATCGAAAGAGACGAAGTTATCTCGCCATGAATCGCCGAGAGAGGCGGTCATCACTTTCTTTCCTCGTATTAGTATAAGTGCAAGCTGGGTTTAGAATGCGGCAGGCGAACCTCCATTTGCCAGTTAGGCATGTAGTGCGCGCTGTCCTGGACGCGGCGAAACACTTTCTCGACTTCTGGCGGTAGAACGTGCGTGTCTAGAGACATCGTTGAGCGGAATGTTTTTGAACTTCAAGACAGATAGACAAGCGAACCTTGAATGCTTAGGAATTGCCCCACTTTAAGCGCGGCGCCGCGCATCTGGCTCAACTTCCCGACAAGCCGCGAGATGTTGGCTTCGGTCATCATAAGCGAGCCTGACGAGCCGCCGCCACGAAGAAGCTCAGTTGCAGCGCCATAGCCAAGGGATGCAGCAAGACCTACAACGCATCAACTTCTACTCGAGTATGCAATAGAGAATGACTTACCCCCGTAGTGGAAGAATCTTCCTATGCGAGAGGAGGGGACTCGGGAAGATTGGAGAGTTCTCCTAGCCTGCGGCACTGCCGCGTCCACCAGCGGGGCGGCTTCAAGAGGAGCTGAAGCGAGCGGTGATGCATCAGACGCCGCAGCCTGGATAGCGGGAGAGGCGCCTTGTGCCGGTAAGTCGGGTCGCTGAGACGAGTGCTCCACTTCGCTCGTAGAAGGCGAGACTGTTGCGGGTGGCGGGCTGCTCGAAGTAGGTCTCTCGTTGAAGATCTCATCTTCAGGAACGACGGGCAATGGTTGCTGAGCGGGAGTAGAGCCAGGGGTTCTTGCTGCGGATGACGGTGTCTGGCTCGAGCTTGGGGTGGGATTGAACAGCTCGTCTTCGGGTACAACAGGGATAGTCTTGGAGGGAGTTTCAGATCCACTACTAGGTTCTGGCGCACGGCTGGAGCTCGGTAGAGGATTGAAGAGCTCGTCCTCCGGTACAACCGGCAGGGGTTGTGTAAGGTGATCGCGCGAGCTCGAGGCACGTGCTGGGATGGCAAGAGCCCGCTGCCATTCTTCGTTCGCTCTGTGAAGGGAGTTGGAAGGACGGGATTCGGCAGAATTGGCGGGAACTATGTCTTCCTGGGCGCCCTGCGCTCGCTCGCGAAACGGCGTGGCGCGTGAGCGTGTACCGGAAACTTGCGAGGCTCGGTAATGTGCGGCATGTTCGAGTATTTGAGCCAAAGAGTGAGCGGCAGCTAGCCAGTTATATGCTGGTCCAGGAGGCATGTGCGAGCTATCTGCTCATGGAGGTCAGAGGGAAATGGATTCGAACGCGTCACAGACGCGTCGACGCGTCGAGATCGGGAGCTCACGCGGGCGCGCGGCCGGTCAAGCCGAACGGGCGGCGTTATCCTTGTCCTCGTCCCTCATGTCCTCGCCACCTCACCGTGCGCCCTATGCAGTTATACCATCGTCTCGTTCATACTTCGACGCGTGATTGCCTTGTCTGGACATCTACTGTTCGTTCTCAATATAAAGACACATATTTTCCCATAGGCTACGCGCGACCCGATCTCGGATCTGTCAAACTGAGCGCTCTATGAGCTGAATTAGCACGGGGTGCGGGTTGTTGACCTGCTTCTCGCTCCCATCATCCACAACACCTATCTGCAGTGTATGCTGCACCAAGGCTCTCGTTGCTAACGCCTATCCCATCAATGCCGGTCTCTAAGCGTCGCACGACGACGGGGCACACTGGCCTTGACATGGCCATTCAGATCACGAGCATGTCCGCGACCCTCTCACAACTGATCCCAATCCCTGCCCTCAGCATCGCCACGTCCACGGTCCTCGCTATCATTGACGTCGTCGCGGTATGTGTATCTGCCGTCTTTCCAAATGAGTACTCGACGCTGACATACACCCTCAAAGGAAGTCAAGACAAATAAGACAGAGTGCGCAAGACTAGCGTGGAGAGCGTCACAAATGCTCCTCCAACTCGCCCGACAGATGGAGGGAAAGTGGGACACAGCTCCGTCCGCGCTCGTGGGCAATATACAAGACTTCGAGCAGTATGTTGAGCCCATATAGAAACTCATGACGTTGACCTAGATGGCTAACGACTTGATACAGAACATTGACCGTCATCCGCGAGTTCATGGCGACTGCGAGCGATGCTTCGTGGCTCAAACGTTTGGTGGGCAAGTCAACAATCGAGGATAACATGCGCGACATGAACATCAGGCTCGACGCAGCCGCCCAATCTTTCCAGGTATGATCATTCTAGTATTTCCAGATGAAGTATCTGCTCACACGCCTTCCAGATTGCCTCTCTCATCGAGATTCACCATGCACTTGGCGGTGCTGTGGAGAGCTCTTCCTCATTTGCGGCATCAGTTGCGACCCCTCCATCTATGCCTTTGCCTGAACCGGCCATCTCGTCGTCGCTAGTCATCGTGGAGAAAGAAGGAGATAAGTCGAAATCGCTAGAAGATGCTATATGCGTGAATGTTCGTTCTCGAGCGGACGTAGAGGTGGTCGAATTCTTGGAGGGCATCAACGGCTCCAAGGACAAGCACGGTGTTAGTGATTATCCTGATATATGGCTTCAAGTCGCTCACCAAGTACTCTAGTTCAGCATATACCATCAGCAAGATGTTCGCATAGGACGTGCTCATCGACGCGGAGTCGGCTGGTTCTCCGAAACGGCCGATGCTCAAGTGAATGGCCAAGAGATCACTGTTAAGCGTTATGGCGCGAGCAAACAGGACGTACATGTGAGGATGCTCAAACTTGATGTGATACGAGTCTAGAGCGACCTTTCAGCGCTGGGTCCAGGACATCAAGCTACTACGTCAGCTATTGTACGTATCATCGTGGAGGAAGCGTAGTCGGGCAATCGATACTGATTGCGCGTTTGAAGCCACGCGAATATCCCACAATTGGTCGGCTACTCAGATGGGCAGACTTCCGTCCCGTTCATACTGCTTTCCACCGGTAAGCATCTATTCTGCACATATCGCATCATGCTCATCATGCTGAAGTTTATCAAACGCAGGAGCCACGAAAGACGTCGGTTTATATGCGCAGAATCTACTCAAGAACGAGAGCCTAGCGAGATGCGCAACTGCGTTCTTGGACATCGTAAGAGTTCATCACAGAATGAGACGGCATTTTCGCATGCTGACACGCCTGGCTAGTATCGGGATATCCTCGTGAGCGCTCATACTGGACTTACCACCTGCTGTACATCTGAGAGCGCGTGTGCAGTCCGCAGCGCTACACGTCCAACAACAGCTGTCCATCACAGACGAGGCCCTTCAAGACTTCGTTGAGGTTCGTCCGTCATTTACAGTCTGAAGCTGGGAACATCGAAGCTAAGATAGTCATAAAGGGAGCGACATACACCGTCGACAACGACAACAAAGTTCTAATGGGACTCGCGCCGCCCAAAGACGGCTGGCACACCTTCCGCAGCTACAACCTCTGCGAATCTCTCGTCGATCGCGCTCTGAAGTACCTCAAGAACCTCAGCGCGATGGAGCAGTCAAGTACGGCTGGCAGCCTCGCGCGCACGGCGACCATCGGCCGGACGAGGCAGCTGATGGCGCTTCTCGAGGCGCTTCTCCCAAGTCGCGCGGACGCACCTCAGCTTTCTCAGGATCTGGAAGACTTGTTGGATGATGGCGATGCGGAGCTCGGCGATCTTCGTCGTCTTGCGCTTGCGTCTGGCCGACACGAGCACTCGTGGTGCGAGCGTTGCCCGGCCGGTGCGGCGGCACTCGGCGACTACGGTGTATTGGCGGACGATGGCAAGAGTTTTGAGAGCTTCCACGTTTTTGGCAACATCTTTGAGGATGGAAGCGGTCACGTACTTCAGCGGGTCAAGGAGGTTGACGGCGAGGTTGTGCGTTGGGAGAGCGGCCGACCGCATAGAGAACAAGCGAGACCTTACCTACTTCCCGACGAACTTGAAGGGTGCGTGTATTGTCCTTACTCAAAATGCCGATGCTCATACTTATCGGCGCGCAGATGGCCTATTGCGTTGATGCCACAAGGAAAGGCGACTGTGTTTACTTCCAGACGTGAGAATCTTACGTGCGGGAGCGAGGCGTGGAGATACTTCTTGAAACATGCCCCCGCTATCGCGCAGAGGCACGGCGTTGCTGTGCACTCGATACTCCTCAGTACGTCCACTCTTGCTCTGGAAGGCGCATCCAAATCTAACTGGTCTATGCAGTTACTCGGACACGCAGCGTCAATGACTTCCAGGTCACTGATTGGTCTGCGCCACCATTACCACGCCCGGGTATGTCCAACGCGATCGTGCATCACCACTCTCCCCAAGCACCTTACTTCGGTGCTCGTACCACTCACGGATTCGGGCACCAATTCGGCACTCCTATACCGACGCCGAATATCGTGTACCTCTTCACGTCCGGCAAACAAGACGCTGTGCCGTATCTGACCGATGACCCGATGGGGCGGCCACGTCCGCAACCGACACGGTCTACCAGCTGGTGTTTCAGCTGCTCTTCGGGATGGTGAGTATCTACTTGGCATTATAGTGCGCCCGCGCAGGAGAACTGAACTCTTGTTGTAGGCTGGTACACTATGTAAACTATATACAGCTAGACCCGGAAGACCTAGTGTTGTAGCCATCTAAGCTTGCTTCGGTCCAGAAGCCTTCCATAAAGATGAGCAAGGCTTCACATTCCCCGAAAGTATGGCGGTGGACAACATACAAAAGGATGGCCGAGTACTGTACGAGTTCGTATCCTATGAAGGCGGCGGAGGGTTCAGTAGACGAGCTGCGCGACCAGCGTGTTTGGACTATCTAGGCATGCTCTGGCGCGCATTAGGCAATCTTGTCGTAATACCATGAGAACAGTCATGGCGCAAGTTTCTACCAGTCCTCAAGAGGGCTTTTTTTCTTTCAGTATGCTACAGCGCCGCCGGATAGTGGTGCTTGATCAAGCGTGATCTTGACCCTAACCCGAGACTTTAATGAACCGGGCCGATCCGACCGGTCGGGGCTCAGCTTAGGCCGAGCTTCCAACGCGCCAGTGGTTCGTCTTCACGCTCATCTCCAACCACCACCTACCTCTTCCCTAAAGATATATACCTCTCCAGTTATCCCCTAACATTCCCACTGCGCTCCTTCGTAGAATGTCCGCGCAAATACTTCCTCCCGACATCGTACGGGAGATATTGGATCACGTCGCAGATGCCGAACCAGCTGGCTATGACTTTCACTCGAAATCATACAAGCTGGGTTGGATCTCCACCACACACGTCTGCAGAAGCTGGAGATACGTCGGGTTCGGTGCTGCGTCCCTATGGGCGGACGCGGCCTGCGCCTTTCCGGATTCTATCATCGCGGACGAGCTCATTACGCGCGCTCGTGGTTGTCCATTGAACATGAGAATTACCAACCATGACGCGAAGGGCACCGGCTCGCACCGATACCAGCACTCTCAGCCGCTAACGTTGAGCTGGTTTCTCAAATACAGAAACTGCGCTCGCCATTTCAGCTGTTCCATCTCCAAGGCAGCCATCGTTCGTGGTGATGCTGAAGTCAAAATCTTGTTCGCGGATCCTCTACCGGTCACCGAATACATATCGATTGTGGTGGACGATGATTTAGTTGGCGCATCCGCCACCCCTGCATCTATGGTAGCGCTCAACGCTCCTGTCTTGGACCACGCCCACTCGATTGGCATGCTGCCGTCCCCAACATCGACGCTGCCTAGCCTTCGCTCTCTACGGCTGTACCTCAGAGACGACGAGGCTAGGGCGATGGATGGCATGGCTAATCTGTATGGACTGCTACGGGCATTGCCACTTTTGGAATCTCTTACTTTGCGTCTGGGCGGCGCGATCACATTGCCGCTTGTCGATCGAACTCCTGTGCGCCTCGAACATCTGCAATCCTTCAATGCACGTTGCTGCCCTGCTCTAGCTTTAGATCTACTCGAGACCATCGTCGCCCCTTCCATGGAAATGCTTGTTGTCAATACCTCCGACGAAGTAACAGGTAGCGATTTTATAGTTCAAGCCCTCGCTCTTCAACAACGCCAGTTTCCGCTGGCCAGCGAGGGATCTCTATCCGTATCGGACACATCCTTGTCATTGGCCAATACTGCATCCGGCCTGCCGAGTCTGCGCCTCAAATTTCCCAGCTTGGCGGGATTGAGCTTTGTGGAGCTTCTGTCAGCGCTACCACAACACACGGACGTCTCCCAATACCGACATTTCGCGCTCGCGGTGCCGGATTGTACGATGTACCATGGCTTATATGCTGCCATGGTAGCCATAGGACGGGAGATGACACGGATCACGACACTTGTGATCAGCGGGGAGATTCATCAACATCTACTATGGATGCTTCAATCAACAACAGATGGCGAATCCTCCGCGGCCGTGCCCTTTCCGTCTTTGCACACCCTAGGTTTGGGCATGGTGGACCTCCGTCCACGGTCGGGAGATATGTGGTCTGGCATAACTCTGTCGAAAAACACGCTGTCGTGGTGGAACGTCATGATGGATGTGCTGGAAAGTCGTATTGAGAAGGGGAGCGGCGTTAGATGCCTGACGTTCGAGGGATGCGATTGTGCGCGGGGAGTGTGCACGCGGGTATGGACCGATCGAGCAGAAGCTTACTTGACCAAAGGTTTTATATCTGAGCTCGTTGATAACCGGAAGAGGATTTCGACTTGTTACCTATGTGGCTGAAGAGCGCGCATGTTTGCATCGCTGCTATCGAAGCTAACGAAGACACTAGTCCCACCAGCTGTATATTGTATCACGTACGAGATATCGTGACCTACGATTGAAATCGAACGTCTATAGTACGAGTGGTATATTGAATATGCGAATGATAAATGCGATTGACCGGACGAGCAAAGCCCAATATACCTGTACAACCACGCCTCTAGAGTACATACAAGCCGTGAGCGGTCGGGTATATTGTTATCATATTGTGTTTGTGGGGCCTGGGCAATATGATAGGCGCACGCGTGTTGGATGGCGCACGCCGGTGCCCCGCGGCATGATGGGCGCACCAAGGGTGTGCTGCCGAATGCCCACGAATTACGGCACCGAGCTGTTGGAGGGCACGGCTTAAAACGCGTTCAAAGCCATGTGACCGCGTCTGCGGATTATCTTATCTCCCGCAGAGATAACGCCGCTTGCGTTTTCGTGTTCCGCGCGCAATGACGGACTCTGACCACCACGATCATGAGCAACGATCGCTCACCCTTCTATACGCCACAGAGACTGGTACTGCACAAGAGGTCGCGGACCGGATAGCTCGACACTGTCGACATGCCGGCTTCAAATGCCGAATCTACAACGTCGAGGACTACCCTAGTGTACGTACGATGCCCTTCCGGTCTGACTGCTTGTCTTCTCAAACGAGACCATCATAGGAGGACATCGTAGACGAACATCTCATCATATTTGTGATTGCTACCGCGGGAACCGGCAAGGAGCCCCGTACCATGACTCCGCTCTGGTCGCTGCTTCTTCGTGCCGACTTGCCGCACGACCTCCTCGAAGATCTGCACTACGCTGTGTTCGGGCTCGGCGATTCTGCATACGAGCGGTTCTGCTGGCCCGCGAAGAGGCTTGATAGGCGGCTTGAGGCACTAGGTGCGACGTCAATCTGTGAGCGCGGAGAGGGCGACTCGCAACACGAACTCGGGTGAGTGTTTGGCAGAACTTGAGTGCAACGCAGAGGTCTGACACTTTTGTCGTATGTCAGGACAGACGGTGCCTTGGATCCCTGGATAACGCAACTCACTAGACGGTTGTTGGAACTTTACCCTCCCTCCGCGGGCTCAAGCTTGGAACCTATACCTCAGCTGTGGCCCGCTCGCGCGACCCTTACCAAAGCTACAAGCGAGGAGCTGACGCGGACGCGAGATCCCTTACTTGACACTCCAAGCTACTGGGGTTTCATGCTCGAGGAGAACAAACGTATAACTGCACCCGACTGGTACCAAGACGTCCGACACTTCGAGTTCGCTACAGATGCCGACCTTGAGTATGTGATCCCGCCACATGTCTCTCTTTCTGAACGCTCACCATCGTCAGGTATGAACCGGGAGACGTGGCGGTCATCCATCCCGAGGCGCCTTCGGATGATGTCGAGTCTGTTCTGCAGTCCCAGGGTTGGGAAGGGATCGCAGACGATCCGCTGAGAGTAGATCACGTTCACCAAGGTATGCGAACGCCTCCGACAACCCGTCTACTGGCTGACGGTCACCTATAGACCAACAACTACCTGCATACCTTCCGGTTACCACCACATTACGCACCATCCTTACGCGTTACGTGGACATCACGGCTGTCCCCAAACGCAGTTTCTTCGCAGTTCTAAGGAACTTCACATCCGACGACCGAGAAAGGGAGAAGATGGACGAGTTCATCACGACTAAAGAGGGCGCCGTGAGTATCCTCTCTTACCTCGTGTAACGTATAATCGCTTGCTAACTTGTGACCGTGAGTAGGAGGACCTGTACGAGTACACATCCAAAGTCCGGCGCACAATTGTCGAGGTCTTAGAAGAGTTTCGCAACGTCAAGATACCTTTGGCCTATGTCTTCGACGTGTTTCCACCCCTTCGGCCGCGCGAATTCAGCATAGCAAGCTCCGTCGCGGTGCGTCTTGGTGCTCTTACGCATGTGTATAAGTCTGACCGTTCTTCAGCGACATCCGCGGAAGCTTCAGTTATGTATAGCCATCGTGAACTACCGTACGAAGCTACGGCGGCCAAGACGAGGAATCGCGACCACGTATCTGTCTAATCTTGAGCCAGGTGTGTCATCTTTCGTGGTTCATGACCATTCTGCCGTAGTTGATATCTATCTGCAGGCTCAACTTTGCGCATCGGGATCAGGAAGGGGCTACTCGCCTTACCTTCAGATCCCTCTGTTCCTGTGATCTGCGTCGGTCCCGGCACGGGAATCGCACCCATGCGCTCGCTGCTTGAGACCAGGATACTGGACGGCAGTCGTAGTGAGTATTCGAGCGCTACATGCGTTATTACGATCTCACTGACCTCATTCCCTCAGATAACACGCTGTACTTTGGTTGCAGATCCGCGAATAAGGACCAGCACTACGCAGAAGAGTGGAAACGCTACATCGACGAACAGAGTCTGACATACCGGACTGCGTTCTCACGAGATGGCGACGAAGGTCATCGGCGCGTGTACGTGCAGAATCTCGTAGAAGAGGACAGTAAGCAAGTTTGGGAGGCGATAGGGAAGCGTGACGGCTGGGTTTATATCTCTGGGTACGTGCACACGCCCAATCTGACCGAGCGTACTCTGACGATGATGATATAGCTCGTCTAATAAGATGCCGGCCGCTGTGCGTCGGGCCCTCGCGCACGCTGCGCATGTTGAGGGCGGCCTAGATAAGCACGCGGCGACTGCCTACGTGAACCGGATGGAGAGGGAGGGCAGACTGTACGAGGAGTGCTGGAGCTGAGTGTAGAGTACCGTATAGAACTCTGTGAGTTGCTGGTAGTACCGATTTATGCATGGGTGAATGCCGCTTCCGTAGGATCGGGCGAGTCTGGGCCGCAAGCGCGCCACAGCGCTGCCGGCCCGAAATGTCCGATCAGTTCGAAATGAACATGCACTCCGTGCTGCAGGCGTGTGCGCCGATCTTGCTTCCTGCCCTCACAATCCTTGCAATATAGTTATAATGTGGCTTCCGTGGGGATCCTCCTCCAGTCCATCCAATAAACCCCCACCCAAACCCGAGCCACCTACGAAGAATGTCCCACCATTACCAGTCTGGAACGAGTGGATGCGATCACTGCCGAGCGAGCCCTCGGAATACCCCGCCTATATGGTCGAACGACTACGGTCGTTACCCCCAGAAGCATTAGTCGTTGTGTTTGCAGCGGGGGGTGCATCTGCGCTTGGCACGGCCGCTCTATACCGCCGGTATCTGTGGAGGATACCCACTGCTGGTTGGGTGACCCCGGATATGCTAAAGTCACAGAGGCGATGGGTGAAGGGCTATGTTACGACGTGCGTAAACGAAACTTGTTCACCCTTACATCGTTATCTAACCTTTCGTATCAGAGTTGGTGATGCTGATGGCTTCCGACTGTATCATACGCCGAGCATTGGCTGGCGATGGCCGCTGAAGTTCAGGCATGTACCTTCGCTGAAGAGGAAGAATGGTGCGTGGTACGTGTTATCGTGTAAGAGCAACTTATGATGGAGAGCGTAGACGCCATGGATGACAAGACTCTGGTAATTCGTCTCGCCGCAGCCGATGCACCCGAGGTGTGCATGTATCCAACCCGTATCGATTCATCATGGTCATACTTCGTTTTCGTATAGCGCACTCAGGAGGGCTATAACGAGGCGAAGGAATGGCTCACTGAGCGAGTCGGAGGCCGCTTCGTGTACTGCCAGCTCTTCAGCAGAGATCGCTACGAGCGACTCGTGCGTATTCCGTGCTTCTGTCCTCGCGCGAGGGCTAACATGCGACTGCCTCTCTAGATCGCAGATGTGCGTGTGCCTCATAGATTTTTGCCCGGTATGCTCTTCAAGGGCCCTTCGGTGTCGGTTGATATGATCCGGGACGGTTGGGCCGTCGTTTACGAGCAGAAGGGGGCGCAGTACGGCAAGTACGGACTCGACTATTTCAAAGTGCTGGAGGGAGAGGCCATGTAAGTCGCTATATCTTGGTTTTGGTTTATGCTCACCAGTCTACGCGTCAGAGCCGCGCGAAGGGGGATATGGACGAATGGAACGCTGGCCGAAAGCCCTGCGGACTTCAAGAAGCGTGTCAAGGAGCGCAAGAAAGCGAAGATGGAAGACATCGAAGAAGGATTCGAAATGCCGGTGCAGGGCGGATCTGCCGGCCGTGGTATCGTCAGGCGGCTACTGGGTTGGTGAGAGAGCCTGAGCCATGCTTGTAAAGTACCGGGTCGAGTCCGTCGAACGAAAGATGACATCAGCAGGTCCCTACTACGTGTACGCTGTACATCGAATCTCGATGAACCTGCAGATCGTTGCCACATGCGCCACAAGTATGCACGCTGTCATCTGATGACGAAGAACGTATGAGCACAGCAACCCGATTCGCACCTACGCGACCTGAACGCCCGGCGTCGATGTGGGTGTCAGCTGTAAAGGGCAGTTGCATGGCTCGCTGTGGACGGGGAATGTTGATAGGGCGCTTTGTACCCGCGTTCAATACATGGAGAATGCCAGCCAGATTGCATCGCCGATCGTTGCTCGTCCACGTTCAGCGATAGCGGGAGAAGCACAGATGCTTGCCGCGGCAGGATACGATCTTCAGATCGATGATTGCTCCGCGTGCCATATGCTCGACGATGCTTACTGGATGGACATCGATCCTTGTCTGTTCCCAGCTCCCATCGGCCATACGTCCAGTCAATCACAACTCTTGTGCCCCTCTATAGCGCCCATCAGCTCGGTCGACGTTCCCCAGATGAATACTTCATGGCCTTCTCGGGTCCGAAACCGATCTGCAAGATGGCATTTCCATGCAGTATGTCCAGATGCTGACCCGTCGCTTATTTGTCTAGATGCTATGATACGTGCCATGTTCATTGTTGCGTTTGGCAGTCGAGATGCGCTAGACGCCCGAACCTGCTCGTTTACAAAGAGTTGCTCGACCTGACAACGCACCCTCAGCACTACCACTCTCTTTCTTCTTCGCATTCCGATATGCTGACCTTCTTTCTCGCATCCACGGTCTTTACCGCTCTGATTACGAGCACTTCCGCTCTTTCGAACACATCGTTTCTGCTTCATGAGCAGCGCGACACCCATCCAGACTCCTTCTCCAGTCAGGGCCCTGCGCCCTCGGACACTGTCATATACCTTCAAGTCGCTCTGATGCAGAGGGACATCGTTGGCCTCCAGAATAAGCTCTTGAACGTCAGCACTCCTGGAAGCGCTGAATACGGCCACTACCTCTCCAAAGAACAAGTACGTTATGATTCATGTGCGAGACATATACCATCTTGACCCTGGGTCAGGTCGTTGCGTACATTGCACCGGAAACCTCCACAGTCACTGCGGTACAGAACTGGTTGAAGGAGAGCAACGTGACCTCTGCTCAAACGTCGCCGGCGGGCGATTGGATCAGCTTCTCGACGAATGTGGAGCAAGCGAACGCTCTTCTTGACGCCAACTACACGACTTTCGTCAACAAGCAGACCGGCAAGGCTATGGTACGGACTCTGTCGTACTCCCTCCCGGCCTATCTGAAAGGCCATGTGGAACTCGTTCATCCGACTATATCGTGAGGTCATATGTCCCTGAGTCGTTTGTCATACCTGATATACCGTATCCTAGCTTCCCTGGGTCTCACCAAGATCTTACGGTGGGCGCTCTACCGCAACAGGACACTCCCCCGGGTACTGCACCAGCATCTTGCGATCA